CATGCAAATGACTGTGATTAAGTGGGAAAGTTATTTTAAGATAAGAGCTGAACAGTGTTACAGTTCTCCACAGTGGGCAATACTGATTGCTATAATTTCAAATTCATTAGCTCTCTATGTTGTCAATTCAAGTTTGCTATTGAGTCTATCTGATGCCTTTTTATTTAAAAAAAAAATGCTGTACCTTTTACTCCTAAAATTTCCCAATTTTAAAAAAAGATTTCTCTGCTGTGATTTCCTATTCATCCCTTCATTATGAGCATATTTTCCCTCTGAATTGTGAAGTGTAATTATGATAGCTATTCTAAAATACTTGTCTGAAAATTTCAACATCTGAGTTAGTCTCTGTTTTTCCTCATACACCTAATAGTTGTTGGTTTGATACTGGATGATTTGAATTAACTGTTGTGAAGACTAGCATTTGTGGAAAATGTCAAGATCATATACCAATAGGCAGGTAATTTCACTGGACTAAAACTCCAAACTCTGTCTCTTTGGTGATTGGCAGGTTGAAATCAACTATATCCGCGGGTTGTTCACAGATCCAGTAGCAATTTAAGCAGTTGATATAAGCAATGGGGGCTCCTTTCTCTGCACTTCTTGTCTGCATTTCTTCCCTCACTTTTCAGCTAATATGGTTGCTGCCTGAACTGTGTCCACTGGAAAAGCTATTAAAACTGGCACATTCACCTTGGTCCCATGCCATTCTGAGTGAGGCCAGCCTGCCAATGTTCACCTGCTTTAGATTGCTCACCAGGACCTCCAGGTAATTTTTTTCTTCATTTATTTATTTTATCTCTTTTGGTTTGGGGTATGGCAGTACATTTAAAAGGTTATGGTTTTTACCTGTGAGAGAATTAGTCTAGTAGAGACTATTCCTGCACAACTGAATGCATCTAAGTATAACAGGCCTTTGAATAGTGTACTTCTTCAGAAAGGACTTTCAGCTATCCCTTAGGTACTTTCATATTTCCTGTTTTTCCTCACCTGCATTCTGTCAATTTTTTTACTTTCAGACAATTTCCCTACATGAACTTTCAATGACCAATATAGTATTAAAGACACTGCCCCGAGGATTTCTGGGCAAGAAGGCTACCAGGTAGGCAGCTCACACTGGGAGCTCTGTGGAGATCGGTGAGTGGGGAGATCTGGGGACCAAGTAGGGGTTCCTAAGCTGTTGGTTAATTCCCATGACAGTTCCGGGTGCTTCCCTAAACCAGGAGCTGATTCCCACCCCATCTCTTGCACCCAAGGCGAAGCCCAGAGGACCCGGTCTACCGCAGGTCCTGGTCCGGCCCCAGCCACTGCACTGCTGTGGACTAGTGCACCCCAGCCGGCCACAACTCCATGAGTACCAGGTGATCAGAAGAGGCTCAAGCAGCCATGGTTTGATACTCCAAATGGCATGGGGCTGTCTAGCTTCCCAGTGGCAGATCCCTACTCCAAGATCAGCACTTTCCTTCCTACCTTATTCCTGCCCAGCCCGGCATTCCCCGGTGCTCTAACAGGAGAGGATGGGCCCTATTTCCTGCCTACCCACCTTCCTGAAGTGCCTCTAGCCGGAAGTAGAGGACCCTATCCTGGATACCAGAGCTGCATACTCCCACACCCTGGGCCAGCACTTTCCTTCAGACTGCAGACTCTACAGCTTCAAACAGTCCCTGTGCAGGTCTGAGGGCTGCTGGAGCACAATGCAGGCTGATTTCAGAGCCTCAAGATAGAGAGGGAATCCAACCTGCCCTCCAAACAACAGATTCCCGATAGGCTGGAGAAAGAGGAAAACCCTCATGGGACAAAGTTGAAAAGCAACCATTCAGGGAAGTAGACTATGGGCAGCCTGCAGGAGCATTAAAAACAACCTCACCAAGAGAGAGGCCAGGGCTCTATGACTTCAAGGAAAATGGCACCAAATTTCTCTAAAATGACATGTCAAAAGCAATCTGCCTCAACAGCCTTAACTAGAAAACAGGAGACACAAAATCCAATGTCACAGGATGACCTGAACCTAAAAGCAGTCATAGAAGAGGCAGACATTGACCTGCCACAGAGTGAAATCTTCAGAATACTGCTTAGAGTCATATAGGATATGAAGGAAGCAATACAGAAAAGGGATGGAATGATAGAGGAGATAAAGGCCACATACCAAAGGGAAATACAAGAGCTAAGGGACAAGATAACAAAAGCCAGTAGCAAATTCACAGACTTTGCCAACAGACTTGAGGAGACAGAGAATCACACCAGTGACTTAGAGGATAATCAGGCAGACTTCAACAAACACGAAAAGCAATCGAATAAGATAATCAGAGAAGCTGAAGAAAACCTGAGAACCATGCCTGATGCTATGAAGAGGAATAACATTAGAATAATCGAACTACCAAAACAAGACACAACGAAGAAGACAATGGCAAAAATAGCAAGGGAATTCTTAGAGAAAATTTCCCCAGCTTAATGAATGAAAACCAGGCAACTATTCAGGAGGCCAAAAGAACACCAGCTAGACCGAATCAAAAAATGTCACCAAGGCATATAATAGTTAAATTATCAGACTTTGAGGAAAAGGAGAAAATCATAAGAGCAGCAAGGGAAAAAAAACGCAATCACCTATAAAGGCACTCAAATAAGAATATGCTCAGACCTATCAGTGGACACTATGAGGAGAGGAGAGAGCAAAGTAACATATTCCAAAAATTGAAGGAAAATCACACAAACCCCAAAATACTTTATCCAGTCAAATTGCCTATCAAGATAGGTGGAGAAGTAAGAGTCTTCCCAGACAAAGAAAAACTCAAAGAATACTTTAAAAGAAGTCCAGCCCTACAAAGGATCCTTGCCAACCCAGTATGGGTAGTAGAACAACACTCACCAAGCACAAATAAGAGACCATCACAGAGAACAACACCAATCAGAGGGCAACAAAGAGAAAACAACTCCCAAGATAGCATTGGCTCAATGGTGGAAAGAAGGCCAGAATGAGACATACACGCACATGTGCTCATGTGCATGCACGTGCACTCGCACAACACACTGATAAGAAAGCAAGGCAGGAAAACACCGAACACAAAATGTATAATATGACATCACAGAGTCCACAGGTGGATATAATAACCCTGAATTATCAATGGAATAAACTCAGGTCTTAAAAGGCAAAGGCTAGAGACTGCCTTAGAAAACACAACCTGTTGATCTGCTGCCTATAGGAGACACATATTAGGATTACAGACAAAAAATAGGCTGAGAATCAAAGACTGGACAAAAATATACCAAGCAAATGGCAATTAAAAAAAAGCTGGGTTGCAATCCTTCCTAATCTCAGACAAAATTGATCTCAAGGTGCAAGCCATAACAAGAGATAAGGAGGGGCACTATATAATGCTCAAGGGAATAGTAGACCAAGAACCAGTGAGCATAATAAATATACATGCGCCCAACGAGAGACCTGAGAAAGTCATCAATCAAATGCTCCAAAAGATTAAGAAAGAAGTCACAGGCTCAACAATTATATTAGGTGACTTTAATACACCACTGTACAAGAATGATAGATCATGAGGAAAGAAGCTTAACAAGGAGGCTACAGATCTAAACATTACAATTAGGCAACTTGACCTGATAGATATTTTTAGAACTCTCCATCCAAATGCAAAAAAAAAAAAAAAGCACATTCTTTTAAAGTCCACATGGCATATACACAAAGATAGATGACATTATGGGACACAAGTTGAATCTGTAAATTCAAGCACATAGAGTGCCGGTATTGCCACTCTCACCACTGGTCCTGAGGGGATCATCCATCCTGGATTCCCTGTGCTTCCAGTTCCTATCTGTACCAGTGTACATCATCTGGTCTAGCCAGATTTGTAAGGTAGAATTGGGATCATGATAGTGGGGGTAGGGGGGGGAAGCATTTAGGAACTAGAGGAAAGTTGTATGTTTCATTGTTGCTACCCTGCACCCTGACTGGCTCATCTCCTCCCCATGACCCTTCTGTAAGGGGATGCCCAGTTGCCTAAAGATGGGTCTTGGGTCCCCAATCTGCACTCCCCCTCACTTACAATGATTTGATTTTTTGTTCTTTGATGTCTGATACCTGATCCCTTCAACACCGCATCTTTAAATCTTACATGGGAACAGGAAGCTTCATCTTTCTCCCAAGGAACTGCTCATGGATTTGAAAATCTGACTTATCTATGAACAGTTCAGCTCTTAATCCATTGCTACCTAACTGCTTGAGGTACCCCATCTCCTGAACTGAATTGTAAGCTCCTGTTACACACCCAAAATCTTCTACTTGTATAAGTTAGTGCCTGGCAGGGAGTCCTGGTGGCACGGTGATTAAGCATTTGGCTCCTAAGTGGAAAATTGGCAGTTAGAGCCCACCAACCACGCTGCAATGGAAGCTGTGTCCGTCTGCTTCTCCTGTGAAGATTTATAGCCAAGGAAACTGTGCAGTGTGGTTCTGCGATGTCTTATGAGACTCTATGAGTTGGCATTAACTCAATAACAATGGTGTGGGGTTTGGTAGGGTTTTTAGTGCCTAGCAGAGTCCTGGTGGTATAGTGGGTATGAGTTGGGCTACTAATCAGAGGCCAGCAGTTGAAAACCACCAGCTCTAATTTGAGTTTTTGGTTTAGTACCATCTTAAGCATTCACATGACTAGATTCTTTCTGGCACTTCCCCATCATTAATTCCTCATTCCCTCCAAGCCTCTACTCCGTTAAAAGTAAAGGGGCTCTGTGTGGGAGTTACAAGTGGGGTGATCAGGGAAGATACTGATTGGATTATATGATTCAGCTGTAAGCAGTCGTTGGCAAGGATAATTGACATTACCACCCTGTTGGGTGTAAAATGAGCCATCACAGAAGGAGCATGGGAGGTGCAGGACCAAAACCAAATTCACTGTCATTGAGTTCATTCCAACTCACAAAAGCCCTGTAGGACAGGATAGAACTGTCTGTGTGGGTTTCTGAAACTGCAACCCTTGGTGGGAGCAGAAAGCTTCCTCATGCTCACTTCGGCAGCACAAATACTAAAATTGGAATGATAAGGAGAAGATTAGTATGGCCCCTGCATAAGGATGACACGCAAATTCATGAAGTGTTCCATATTATTATTTTTGTTTTTGTTGTAATACAACTGCCAAAGTAAACCAGAGTCCTGTATGACCCGTGGACAGGCAGATGGAGTCTGGGCTCCCACTTAACTCTAGCCCTAATCTAAGAACAGTTTGTTCTCATAACATGGCTCTGCTCAATAATCACTTTCATGAAATGATCACTGAACATAAGGGTGCTATAGCAAAGTACAGTGAAGAAAGTATATGGTGCCAAGCTGTCAATTGGAATAGTGTCTGGGGTCTTAAAGGCTGCATTCAAACAAGCAGCCATCTAAGTGAGACGTCAACTAAATTCACAGGGCAGAAGCATACCAGCCTGTGTGATCCAAAGATGACAATAACAAGATCCAAATATGACAAAGGGAAAAGTATGGGTTTAAATTATGAACACCCAGTTTGTAGAAGGAGATGGAGGACAGTAGGAACATAAATTCCATCTGCAGAGTATGTAGCTAGAGTCTCTGGCAGATCCCTTCTGGTCCCAGGCAGAGATGGACTATTTACAACTATCAGACAGAGATAGTTGTAAACTTGATTATGGCAGGCCAAATATGGTATAATTTGACACTTGGTCAGTTGACCTCCCTCTTGACTCAACCTGAATTTGATCGAGGATCAAGTATTTCTTGCTTGTTCCACAACTAAAAGTTTTTCCCTAGCTTTTAAAATATTGATTGTGGATTTTTCTTTCTTACTCATTATTTGTATTTTTATCTTTATATTATTATTTTATAATTGCCATTAATTTTTTAGTGTTGCCTTTTATTGGTACTGTTGGGCCTACCAGTTTGTGAAGCACAGAAAGAGTATATGCATAGGGATAATAATTGTTACAATGGCTTATCATGGATAGGGTGGAGAGGCCGGTGGTCTTGAGCAGCCCAATACACCATCAGGGCTCTGAGTGAATTATTTAATGGGGATCTTCTAGCTAGAGTCTCTACCACCCATGAAGCAACCCTTTTTTGATGGGTCTCAGTAGGAGAAAGTGGAGAAGATACTAATAGGATTCAGTTGTAAGTGCTTCTTAGCAGGATTCACTTTATCAACCATAATTGGACCAGTTCAAAATAACCCAAAGCCCTGAAATAACACAACAGTGTTTCAAATTAAAAACTAAAGAGAAAACACAAACATGGCTTCTCAATGGTTGCTCTAATTCCCTAATGATGGTTGCTCTAATTCTTCTTCTACTTACGTGTGGCCCCCTTCCAGTTAAACTTTGTTTCCCACCTATCCCTACTTGACCAAAAAAGCTTTGGACAATGTTAACAATTTCATCCATGTTGATAAACACTTGAGGCTTTGAACTTCACTTTCCAGTTTTTAACTTACCTGAAATTATTTTTCAGTTTTGTTCTAGTAGGAATACACTTTTACCCTTTCCCAATTAAAGTTAGGTACCATCAAGACAGTTCCAACAAACTCATTGTGATCTTGTGTATAACAGAATGAAATACTGCCTGGTCCATGGTCTTTCTCACAATTGTTTGAGTTTAATGTTGCAAACATTGTGTCTAACCATCAAGGGTCTTCTTTTTTGCTGACCTTCTACTTTAGCATGACATCCATTTCCAGAGTCTGGTCTCTTCTGATAACATGTCTGAGATAGTTTATTGTGCCAGCCTGGCCGATAAACACAAGTGGGATTAACTGAAGGGCAGAGAGATAAATGGCTTGGTGAGTCTCACCTTTCTTGTCTCTTGCTCTTTGAT